TAACCTTCAGTTGTTGCTTTCCATTTTATTCCATTTATGCATTCTTGACACTGATAGGCAAGAAGGGGAAAAACAAGGAGATACCTAGAAAGCAAAGCAAAAGGGAAGAAAACAGAGAGCAAAGGAGAAACTGGTGCTTGGAAGAGAGGAAGTTAGAGTGAGGCCTGAGTGTGGGGCGCAGGTGAGCAAACTGAAAGAAGCAACTGATCAGCAAGAAAAGACTTTGGATTATAGACAGTAGAAAATGTGATATGGTTGCATCTGTTGTGAATGTCCTTGCTTAAACTGCTTTGGCAATTATTCCACAAGAAAGACAGTGGAGGAATCATCTGAAAATACCTTATATTAGTGTTAGGCAGAAACAATTCACTTCTGCTTCTAAGCAACTGTTCTTGCTGCTACCCAGAATATGTTGGAAGGGCTAGTCTGGCAGCTCCCGTCCTCCCACCAGCAAAACCCTGTTGACTGTGGGATTCCAGTACTCCTAGACAAAGACATCTCTCTCTCAGTGCAGAGCCAAAGGGAAAAGTTAAGGTGTGTGTTTTGCTTGGGACACTTTTTCACAAGGCGAAGAGCTTGTGCTTGTTTGGGAGGAGGAAGGTAGGTAGCTCAGGACCTGTTTATGTTATAACACTTATGTTGAGTTGGGTACAAATCTGCGGGAGGCAAAAAAAGGTATCCAGAAACCACACCCCTCTTTATTACATTTAGAGCAGTGTGCTGTCCGAAGAGTTTACTCTCTTACAGCAATGAAGGAATACAAATTGCAGCAGAAAAAAAACCCTTAAAGCAAAAGAAATATAGCTAGTGGATGTTCTCGTATTTTGAATTAATTGGAATGGCTCTGCTGCCACTGTGGTAGCTGTCCCCCTACTGTTCATACTTCCAGGTTGGGTGTTACTTCATTTTGGTAGACAGAGAATGATGAGCTGTAGCGAGGAAGAAATGGGCTGCTAATAGCGTGGAGAGGTAGAGACAATGTATCTGGCTTTAATACTATTGATAATTTAGTTCAAGGGATGGAGTGTCTCTTCTAAATGGCACTTTTCAGTCTCTCTAGCCTATTCTAAGTGAGATATATGTGCCTTGTGGCCAGAGATGAATTGTGGAGATAGGACCTCTGAATCAATCTTCACTGTGTGGTCTTTTTTTTTTTCTCCTTTTTTTTATTTCCTTTTTTTCCTTTTTTAATTTAAGCCAGGAGTTGATTAGATGCCTGGCAATGATTACTATCCATTGGCACCTCCCATTGGGAGCACACTCCAAGTACCAGCCTTCAGCTCTTTCAAGCAGGGGAGGTTAAGCAGGCTGCTTACTGAGCAAAAGGAATTTCTCTTCCCATGAGAGCCTGAGTGCTGTTTCCCTGGCTAAGAATGCTATAATTCCTTTACAAGTGACAAGCAGGCTGCTACCATCTGCTGGTGAATGGCTGCAGGATGGTGGAGTTTGGGTGAAAATTTGCTCATGGACCAAAGAGAACAATTAGTGGTCATTAAGCCAAATTCACACATTTCCTTTATGAGGTTCTGTGATTTTTATTTTTGTTTTAGAATGTTTTCTAGTTGTAGTGTACCTCTTTTATTTTCTTTTTGTTCTGAAACATAAGTATATAAGGGTAAGGGTTGTGACGAAAGCCACAAAACGTACTAGCAGGAACTATGCATCTTTTTGTCTTCTAAGACGACTGACACCATCCAGAAATTTTTTAATCACTTTGTTCTGTCTTTCTAGAAACACCCGGATATATTTGGAAACAACGTGGCAGTACATGATGATAGTCTCTTTCAAAGATTAAGTGATAGACTCGTAAGTTGTTTTAGAACCATACAGCTTTGTAGGGTGTCTGCTTTGTTCAGTCACTCTGTGGTGCGTCAAGAAGGAAGAACTCGAAAGAAAAGAGTAGTTATTGTGTATGTGGTTCCCCCAGCTTCCCCTGAAAGAAGCAGATGGTCGGGGGTCCCAGGAGGTAGAAGAAATGGGGCCATTAGACTGTCAGTGGCTTGTGAAAAGCAGAAGCATCTGCCAGAATGGAGACTTGTTCAGCAGCAGGGGAGCCAGCAGCAGCAGATGATCTCTGCCTTGAGCAGTCAATGGTATTGTAGTCCAGTGGGGAATTGCTGTTGTGGGCGTAACTGCAGGTAACCTTGGTAATAATCTAGTTGGTCTGGCAGACTAAAAGAAAGGGAAATGAAGGCTTGATGCTCATGCTCTGGCATCTTAACTACCCACTTTTCCTAATCAGTCCGAAATACAACCGATTTGAAAGCATACCGTACCCATTCTCAGCTGAACGCTACAGGCAGGCTTAAAAATCATCAAAATGCGTGTTTCTGCTGCAAGTTTCAGAATAGCGAGATGAACCATGCTAGATGCAACAAAGAAGAAGTTCAAAGACTAAATTAACATTTGGAAAAGCATCAAAAATTTTTCTAGGGGTCGTCTTGTTTTCAGTTGTATTGCACAGCACACTCTTTTAAGACATGCCTTTTTAGTGTTAAGAAATATTTTACACAGCTGCAGTTTAATCTCTACTGCTGTAGTTCCTATGTCTTAGTGACTGCTCTGTACAGGACATGGTGTTCCAGGGAAGAATGACCTCTTCTGTTGCAACAGTGTGATGGTACTTCAAAGATGAGATAAAGTGGGGAGGACAGAATGCCTCCGAGGAACAAAACTAGAAATTCATATCTGTGTTCAAAAAGAATAGCCAATTTGGGTTCTGTCCTGTTAGAATAATTAATCTCAGTCAGCCACATCTAAAAGTGAGAATAAAGCATACAGGTAAAGAGCTCTGGTTCAGAACTCCTCAAGCTGCACTTTGTGAATACTTGGCATAGGTGAATCTGGGACTGTTGCCAGTACATAACATTCTTCTAGGGTTGACTTCATAGCCAGGAAGAGACATTTTCTATACGTGAAACTTGGTTTTACTCCCATGAGAGAGTGAATTACATTGCAGTTTGGCTAGAGGTCCATATCTTTTGGTGTGCATTTAAATACTGGTTTGGTTTTTTTGGGTTTTGGTTTTTGGGGGGGTGGGTTTGTTTGTTTTTTTAACCTTTGGAAACTAGTGTTCATGTTCTGACAGGCAAAAATAAGCTACTTGGGTGTCTCTTTCTAGGCTTCGGGGACACTTTCCTTACATCATAAATACTGCAATAGTTTGTTGTGATACACGTTCACTACTTAGAAGATAGACACGATTTCATAGGGAGCGCTGAAGATCAGGCTCAGGGTGCTTTGGCATAACCGAAAAGAGAAGGCAGTATTGAAGACTGCAGTTGTAGATGCCGTGAGAACTGATGTCTCACAAGCTTTTCTGTTAGCTGCATCTGCTTTGATGTGGAGAGGGCCACCTGCTTTATGGCTGAAGCTAGTTTTGCTTTCATCCTCATTCAATCATGTAAATACAAACTATAGTCATCTCTGCATAGCATAGAATAGTAGGAAGAGCAATGACTGTCACATATTCTTAGTCTTTTTTGAGATATTGTAACCAAAACCCTGATTACTGTGCAGAGCAAGGAACTTCGCTGTGGCTGTTATCTTTGGCCACATCTATTCTGCAGACCTCCACTGCCACATGTATGTTATTCAGGGATGTGAAGAAGTGTGGTCTAGCTGATGTGGCCATTTTGGCATATGAGCCTCCCCGTATGGTAAAAAAAAACCCATGCTTTTGTGCAGTGCCAGGTGCACTGCTGGTTTGAGCACATCTGTTCTATGTGCTGTACAGGTGTAGCTTGCTGGTAGTGTTAATAGAGCAAGTGTAGTTTGACACTAGCTTTTCCAATAGAAAAAGAGTTTTTTAGATCGTGTCATCATCTCTCTGTGTGCAGTCAGTGACCAAAGACGAATTCTTATAGCCTAAACTCAAAGTGAATTGTACCAGTTACATGAGGCCTTATTATGGTGTTGGTTGTGTTCGTCAGCAAAACCAAATTCCTGTGTTTCTTAAGTATAACGGAAAAGTTATTGTAGGTCATCTTTTCTTTTTTTGTCACTAGTCTATTTGCATTTTCATTTTTAAATAGTAGTGGTCTCTTAGCCTTTGGTGGTTTCTGCCATATGTGCCTTGTTTTCTTTTTAGAAGGGAAAAATGTCAACCTGTCAGAAATCAGCTTTCATCACAATGTTAGATTAGTTAATGAAAATAACTGACTGTATACATTCAATAAATAAAGTTGTTGTCTGAATGAGATGCACAATAGGCCTACTTCTTCGTTAGGTCATTCCTTAAGTCATTCAGGCTGAAGTAAATGGGTGAGTGGTTTCATTCTGCATTCACATCTGTCTGATAATGTGGTTAAATACATCATTGACCAGATGAGATAATGGGATTTAAGAAATTAAAATTGAATGTGGTCATCGGATGAGTCTTACTACTTTGAAAATAAATGTATGAGCGTCTTTCTAGCACTGCAGGTGTTTCTTTTGGAGATGTGCCATTTCTGTGATGGCGAGGTATTTTCCCTTGATGGCATCTTCTGCTCCCAGTAAGCCTTTTTTGATCACCTGTGAAAAAATGTTCAATGTGGCCTTGATCTTCTTGGACTGCTAGTGATAATGAAAATGATGTAACCAAATTACTTTTACATTAATGGTATCTTCTAAATCATTCTTTGTCATGCTAATTCTCATTTTAAAGCTGCTGTAGATTGAAAAAAGCTCTTTTCCTCCAATTTTAACACTGATGTCATTGTCAAGTACTGAAACATAGGCCAGTGAAACAGATTTGAGAAGTGTTTCAAGTTCCTTCTGAATGGTTGGTTTGAACATTTGGTATTGCTTGCCTGGTTAGCACAGCTGAAAAGTTTGAAAGATCTTGTGTTGTTGCCTATTCAAAAGGCCTTTCTTTATATGGTGTGGAAAGATACAATCTAACATTGTGATACTCAAGAAATTTGTGCTGGAATGTGGTTGATAAAATTCCCAGGAAAATACAGATGTTTGGAAAGATGATTGCAGTCTTCATTGTCATTTCTTGGTTTCCCTTTCAGAAATGTTCCCATTGCCAGGAACCAGGAGCCACCTTAGGCTGCTACAACAAAGGCTGCTCCTTCCGATACCATTACCCATGTGCCATCGATGCAGGTAAGAACAAATGATGTTAACCGTATTTCACGTTTATTCAAAACATATGACACCAAATAATTCCCAGGTACTTTAGAAATTTATTCCCTCTGTTTCTCACCTTCTATGAAGATACAATAATATAAATGGTGAGAAATGGCATCAGATAAACAGTGTACAATAACACGTTGGGACAAGATGGAACTTGTAATGAAAAATAATCTACTGAAAGTGCAGCAAAAGCCTGGTTTTGGGGAATGCAGCTACAGTGATTGAAATTTGGCTGCAATATGAGAACTGACCACTCTTTTCTTGCGAAAAATAGAAACCCTTTGTTAAATGGGTGCAAGTAACCAGAAAGGCGTCTCCTCTTTCAGGGTTACGCTCCTATGGATAGTCATAGTAATGCTTTCAAGTGCAAAGTGTTCGTAGAATCATCAGTACCACTTGCAGCACAGCCTTCCTTCTCCATCCTTAGAAGCATTTCAGCCAGTCTCTAAGTCAAATTTTCATCATTGGACAAGCTAATGGTTTGGATGGTATTATCTCCAGCTATGAGCCTGGAGTTGTGAGTTGGCATTTTATGTACAATAGTGAAAGTTTTTCAAGGAGATAAATTTCATTCTTGGGTAAAAAATCCCAGCTCAGAATGAATAATGTCCCACTATTCCAGTCCTCTGTAACCCACTTCTCACTTCTCTAAGTTTGCAGATGACACCAAGCTGGGCGGAAGTGTTGATCTGCTGGACAGTAGAAAGGCTCTACAGAGGGGTCTGGACAGGCTGGATTGATGGGCTGAGGTCAATCATATGAGGTTCAACAAGGCCAAGTGCCGGGTCCTGCACTTGGGTCACGACAACCCCATGCAACGCTACGGGCTTGGGGAGGAGTGGTTGGAGAGCTGCCTGGTGGGGGTGTTGGTCGACAGCTGGCTGAATATGAGCCGGCAGTGTGCCCAGGTGGCCAAGGCGGCCAATAGCATCCTGGCTTGTATCAGAAATAGTGTGGCCAGCAGGACTAGGGAAGTGATCGTCCCTTTGTACTTGGCACTGGTGGGGCCACGCCTCGAGTACTGTGTTCAGTTTTGGGCCCCTCACTACAAGAAGGACATCGAGGTGCTGGAGCATGTCCAAAGAAGAGCAACGAGGCTGGTGAAGGGTCTAGAGAGCAAGTCTTATGAGGAGTGGCTAAGGGAACTGGAGTTGTTTAGCCTGGAGACAAGGAGGCTGAGGGGAGACGTTATTGCCCTCTACAACTACCTGAGAGGAGGTTGTAGCGAGGTGGGGGTCGGTCTCTTCTGCCAAGTAACAAGCGATAGGACGAGAGGAAATGGCCTCAAGTTGCACCAGGGGAGGTTTAGATGGATATTAGGAAAAATTTCTTCACCGAAAGGGTTGTCAAGCACTGGAACAGGCTGCCCAGGGAAGTGGTTGAGTCCCGATTGCTGGAGGTATTTAGAAGATGTGTAGATGTGGTGTTTAGGGACATGGTTTAGTGGTGGACTTGGCAGTGCTGGGTTAGCGGTTGGACTTGGTGATCTTAAAGGTCTTTTCCAACCTAAACGATTCTATGATTCTCATATCATGCAAAACCTAGTCTGATACCAAGCAGGTAAGGATTCAAGATTACAGCTCTTGACTGGCAAATAATTGCAAGTTTCCTGTTTGTTATCCCACCTCCACAGCAGCCCACTTGTTTCACCACGTATTTTATGCTGTTTTGCAAATGTAACAGTATTTGAAGCAGGTATGCTCATTTCTGAATGACTGTGTTGCACTTCTCACTGTGAAATCCCCCCCCTGTTGGACCACTGCATTTTAGAATAGAAATGTTTTTAATGGAATTAATATTGCAGTGGAATACTACTATTACAGTATAGATGGAGAATCCTTGATTTTACAATAAATAAGGTGTTAAAGAAATATTACAGTAAATAAGGTGTTAAAGAAATATTACTCAGGTTGCAAAAATCGCACTCAGAAAATTGCCGAAAATAAGGGTGTCCATGTCAGTTTAATTTTGGTCTCTTATGAATGTATCTTATAGTAATTGCCTTATTAAAGACTGGCATCTTTTTCCATAAGGCCACACCTCAGCCTGTAGGATGAAAGGGTGCTCGTTCATGAACATATGTTGTCCTCATTGATTCTGTATTTTATTTACTGCATATGATTCTGTCTCAGTTCTGAAAGTGGAACTGTGGACTTTTCTGTGCTGTTCATCTCTGTCATGCAAAAGTCTTTGGTTCTGGTGCATAAATCTCGGGCCAGAGGTTTGTTGGCAAGAAGAACCTGCCGACCCCCAAACAAAAGCATATTTGTTAGAATTTTCAGGTGATCTAGCTACTAAAATCTAAGAAACCTCTTCTGAGGATGTGCCGATTAAAATCCCTTTCCCTCTTTGCAAAGAGTTACATTGCTGATTTTGTGGTAAGCTGGCAAGGGCATGCCTTAGCTAAAATTCAGGTCCTACTGCAAATCAGGATGTTAAGAGTTTTTCAGAGAAAATTTGCTGCGATGTTTAACATGGGCAGAATAACTTTTTCCAAGAAAGAGTTTCAAGGAAATGGTTAGACTGCTTTAGCTGGAGTTTTCAACCAAAACAAATAAAAGAACTCAGCTTGGAGTACATTGTCAGCATTCAAAATTTCAGCCTGATGACAGGAAAAGACCTTGTTTGCAGTTGGTTTTATCTGTGGGTGTAATCAAGCTGTCTTA